CAGCCATAAGGAGGCTAAACCCAAGCCTTGTTACTAGTAGAAAGCCATTAATCAGCAGCACTCCAGTGCTAAACGAGCTACTCCTTGTAGAAAGCAGCCATTTGATAATACCATATACTCTAATTAAGTGAGTTTAAAGCACCACGTGGTCACTTCCGGTCATGATTTCAGAGTCCGGATAATCGAGGTGATACTGTAGTGTTATTGTTTTTATCTCAGTTTAAGTTAGAATGTGCATATACATGTACATGTACATGTATATCAATTTTCTTTGCATTCATTATGTATTGTATGTACATGTGCTCTTCCTGTCCTCCTCCTCTTAGTTCTATCAAAGGATGTGGTATCTTGTGAGGCCAGTCATTCCCTGGCAGTGTGTGTCTTACTGGGTGTCTGGTCTATGACTATTGAGCTATTGGGACGGGTCTGTCCTGAGTCAGTTGGTAAACTCAAGCACTCAATATTCAACCAGTTGCAAGGTAAATTATTCAAAATGTATCAAAAAATTTGGGGTGACTTTAGAGCCAAATTTTGGAAAAAGCCGTAAGCTAGAGCCTGGGGTATTTTATCAAAAATTAATTGTTTAATAAAATGCTGGTTACTTTAAAAAATATTTGTCAGGATTGCATTAAATTTTTTATGCAAATGTACATCAATATTTGTGTTAGAAAAAGTAATAAAAATTTCGAGTGGTTTTGGAGCCATTATTTACTGAAGAATTAGTCCAAAGTCCCTGTATAATCATAAACCATTTTTTTCCAAAAATAAAAAGAAGAGAAATCTCTTTTACAATTTCCCCCAATACAGCATACATAATACATGTTCTTAAGTTCTGTGTAAAGTTTGAGCTCATCAAGATTGGACTTTCCCTCTTTTTAATAACTTTATTATTATTGTAGATGTTTCTTGAATGGGAGGAGACTCTGTTGTTGCTATGGCAAGTTCATTTAGGCTCTGATGAGGACTTTATTAATGGACATTATTATTATTTGATTTTATTTATTATTATTATTATTATTATTATTATTATTATTATTATTATTATTATTATTTTGTTGTTTTGGTCGTTGTTGTATTAATTTTGTTTTTGAATATTTTTTTACAAATACAGCTTTATTCCACTACTTCATTTTCTTGCTCACACTTTAATTCACACCTTGAGGTGGTAACAAAGCATTGAAATCATCTTGCAGTTAATGCAAATAGATTAACAACAATGATGCATAGAATGATTGTAGTATTGATGAGAAGTGAGTGATAGTCATTATATAGGACTGGTGGTGAATGCATACCATATCCTACATTATCTGATACATTACACCAGATCCATTGATGAATACACAAGATAAAAGTATCAATCTTTTAATGTTACACTAGAAGTCATTACATTGTCTATTGTCTCACAAGTGGTCCAGTCAATGAGATTGATATGACTAATGGGTGGTTGAAGAAGGACCTCCTCACAGGATTGACCCTTTACACTCCTAGATACGCCACATGTATACACATGGGTAGATCTAATGATTAAACTTGCTGCACTGCATATATCTAATGGGGCAAATGCATGATTTGACTAATAGCTTTTTATGGAAACTTGAAAATAGAAATCATTGACAAAAATTATAACAATAAGTATTATAATTATACTATAATAATAAACAAAAGAAAATAGAGCCAAAAGTGGAAGAGAAGGAAGTGTATGTATAAGAAAACAGAGGAATAAGAAAATTTTTACTGTTATTGTTTACATGTAGGCAGACACTTTATTTCAGCAGCAACATCATTTCTTCCCAATTCCTGGAGTGCTTTTATCAGCTTTTCCCTTGTAGCAGTACCAGTCTTTAACCAGTGAACTATCATGTCTTTACAGGACACATCTATTTGATAGAAACTCTTTGAATGAATTAGTTTCAAATTTTCATTTTCAATTCCAAGATATAGTTCAAGAGTCTCCCATTCATTGACTATCTTATTAATAGCTTTCAGTATAACAGGAGCATGAGACTCATCTGTAAATAAATACACACATTATCTATTAATAATAATACTAACACATTCACTCACTTAATACAGAACCTTCTGGCAGAAAATTGTCTATATAAACATCTGATGAAGCAATTGGATCTGTAAAATATGATTTTATAAAATACAACAATACTTTCAAATCTAGTGGTGTATGCTCAATAACTTACCTAATAGCCAGCAACTTTGTCTCTCATCAGTCAATGCAATTGGTGGAAGATCAGTCTCAATACTGCACCTGATCTCTGGAGGGTCTCTCTTGTATGAGACTTTGATAGGATGAGGATTCCTCTCAGTCTCACGGCTTCTGTGTTTCTGGTGACAATATGTCACAGCAGATATTTCCAGTGTCTCCTCATTGTAAGCTAATGCAGCAGCACTGGCTAATAGACCCTCTAGGATCACTGAACGAAGAGCATAGCAATCTTTAGGGTTTCCCGTAAAGTAGACTTTGATAAATTTATGCTCATCAACAAATATGACAGACCCAAATAGATCCTCAGAGTAAAGCTTGACAGCATGTCGGAGCTGCTTTGGAAAGAAAGGAGACTTACTGTCAATAAAAAAGTGAGGACTCTCCTTTCGACTTAACAGAGAAACAATCATGCTTTTGACTTCTGGAACTTTAGGCATTATCCACTAGACTACTGAGTCACTGCTGGGTTAGTGTTGCGTATTTATACAGTTCAATTGTATTGCTACCCCGGCGTTTATTCGCATGCGACTTCTATTTAAGGATATACATGTACATGTACATGTACATGTACGGTATGCATGTACAATATGTGCAGTGTATATGTACGTAGATGTACACACTACACGCATACATGTATTTATGAATTACAGTGCATGTACTACATTGTATGTATGAGATTTTATGCTTGCATATTCTATGTGAAAATTTCTTTGCTATCTTCTTTGTTTGTTCTGTTTGACTCTATTTCCCCTTTCTATTTTTCTCCAGGTTGTTGGTCTTAATGTCTCATCAGCCACTACCCCTGAGCTATTATTAAAGAGGTTTGATCATTACTGTGAGTACAAGAGGACTCCCAAAGGAGTTGTGATGGCTCCTTCTCAACTCGGAAAGTGGCTGGTTCTCTTCTGTGACGAGATTAACCTTCCAGACCTTGACAAATATGGTAAGGAGTATTGATTTTACAATAAAATTAGTGAATATAAAGTTATAACAAGCTTATGTGAATCCATTCAATCCAAATACACTTTAGAGAGATATCATTCTCTTTTTTAATGTTTCATTAAAAAGTTGTTTTTTCTAATTAAAGGTACTTAGAGAGTAATATCGTTCTTACGTCAGATTGTCGAGCACAGTGGATTTTACAGGATCTCTGATCACACGTGGGTGACAATAGAGAGGATACAGTTTGTAGGAGCGTGTAACCCACCGACTGACCGGGGAAGGAAACCACTGTCTCACAGGTACAGTATGCTGTAGTGGGCATTGAATACTGTATTATTTGGGAAGGATACATTTTTGTATTGCATTATACCATATAGCACTTTATTTTGGCGTTTTTTGGCAATTGGGAGTCTGCAAGCGGAATCGTCAATGTTAAAACATCAATGGTCAATGGTCAATGGTCAATGGTCATGGTCAATGGTCAATGGTCAAATCGTCAATGGTCAAAGCCCCTGTACTATAGTACAAGGGCGTTAGCTAAATTTTGCCAAAATTAAAAAGTAGAGAATTCTCAGTTTTTGTAATATTTTCTGATACATATACTTGTCCTTATGTTGTGTATAAAGTTTGAGCTGATTCCGATTAAATTTGGATTTTTAATAAATTTTTAAAGTTGCTCAAAAATCCATGTACTGAAAAGCCTCATATATAGCCAAACACCCAAATGGATCTAAAATGCTAAATTAATGCACACAATTAAAAGTGAACTTGAGACATTTTTATTCATTAATTTTTATTTCTTTGTAATAATTGTGTACCTTATTGTATTGATAGTATTGTATCCTCTTCTCTCTCTCCTATAGTTGAGTTATGCTGATATGTTGAAGAGAGTTGATCCGTTACATAAGGAATTGAAAGATTTGGAAACCAAAGCTGAGGACACTCGTCAAAAAGGAGAAGAAATAACAAAAATAATAGCAGAACTTGAAGCCTCTATAGCAAAGTAAAGAACAAAACAAAATACATTAAAAGTGAAACTTATATTTTTAATTTTTTCTTTACTTAGATATAAAGAAGAATATGCAATGGTTGTATCTGATGCTAGTGTTATTAAGAATCATTTATCAACTGTTGAGAAAAAGGTAAAGTATTTTAATAATTAAAGATACATTAATTATCTTTTATTAATAATTTAATTCATTAATTATTCATTAGGTGAGTTCCTCCTTCGTTTGTGTCACCTTGAGAAGAGTCTCCTCACTGCATTGAACAAGGTCAAGGGTCATATCCTAGACAACAACAGTTACCCCCAATTCTAATAATAGTAACAACACATCACACATCTAAATATAGTAACAACTATTACATGTGTAATCATTAATGTGTTTATTTTTAGAATCATCACTAATAATAGTAACAATACATCTAAATATAGTAACAATTATTACATGATGTAATCTTTGTTGTGTCTATTTTTAGAATCATTACTGAGCTTGAGACTCTTAAGGAAGAGGCTGCAGAAGTTCAGAGGAAGAAGGAGGAGACTGATACTGTAATGGCTGAAGTTGACAGAGTCTCCCAGCAATACCTGCCTCTCTCCACCTCCTGCTCTGCCATGTACTTCACTCTGGAGTCACTCAATCAGGTAATTGAAATCATGTGACTGTCGTGTGATTTAGCGGTACTTTATTTTGATGGTTTTGCTTGATAAATACATTAGGCCAGCTTTTAATTCGCAAATTTGTCCACGCATGTATTACTAAACATTTCACTATTGAAAATTTTGATTGTGAAATGCCAAAAAAATTAATGTATTATTATCTTAATTTGGTG